AACTCCTCACGTTATCGCATGGCAGGCTCGGAAATCTCCTCCTGCAGGGCTACAGCAGGCGAGACACCAGGAGAGAGACGGTGACTACAATACAGGCAAATCACGAGAGCAGCCTCAAACAATACCGTTAGAAACACCAGCTGGCACGGCACGTGCCTGTTGCTCCTGCTGCCGTGCAGGCAGTAGGAAATACTGCTCGTGCGCTCCCCACTAACCAAAAGCAGGGAGGGTATTTAACACACCGGCCGTCATGGCGAGCAGAACAGACAGACACAGCACTTTACAACTGTGAACGTGCTACGTTGCAACTGAAATGGAAACAAACCCACAAACACTTCTCCTTGCTTTAATTTACCTGCTATATGTTCCTGTTTAGGGCAAATTCCTCTAGATGACGTTGATAAACAATCGTCATCCTCTGGCGTAACCTGGATGCCAACCTCCACAGGATTGGATGCTTTTTTCAGCTCACTTGGCGAGGGTGAAGGTGGCTTATCCACAGCCTTCTCTAGGCAGAGACTGCCATTGCATTGTTTCCGTTTGTGCTCAATAAAAATAAGAATGTCCCCCAACGGAAAGTTCATCTGACACTGGCCACAAGTGAGGAGGTCGTGGTCCCCTTCTGGAGCTCCCAATGTGCCATGTTCAGGTTCATCATCAGTAAGAATGGCTTCAAGAGGTTCGGCTGCAGTTTGAGAAACAAAAGGAAAATCATTAGAGCTCTCAGAAAGGCACTGGGCACAGGGGGAGGCACACACCGAGCCCCCTCTTCATGAATATTACACCCCACTCTCAATGTCTGCCTGATCTCCCCCCCCCAAATAAACCCATGCAACACAACTGTCAGCACGGCACCAAGGAGATGAATTCATCAGTTACAGAAAAGAGATTTTGCAGAAGCAGCTGTACCATGCAGAACTCGGAGAGTGAGCACTGTAACTGTCTCCGTGTTCCTACATGAGGACAAATTTCTGACTTGATTGAACAATTCGGTGCTAAAATTTAATGAATAGGCTGAAAGAATACACTGAGAAACTCTTGTGGCACTACGAAGAGAAGCAAATACACTGCTTTATTGCCGGATGTATCATTTATGTACATGAATTCAGGACTAAAAGCACTGCACACAGTCCCTCACACACATGGGTGTGTATCTTCCACCAGCCAGACCCACTTTCTAAAATTCAGACACCTGAAATACATTGTAGACAGAAAATGTTTACATATATCTATATAGTCATTGCATTTTCCCTCTACAGGCCATGCAGGTAGTGTGTGTATGTGTACAAGAAAAGAGAGAAAGAGCCAGCCCACGTGGCCACACACACCCAGGCACCAACACACGGGGCACACACAGCCCTCAGAACACACGTGCATTTGGATACATATGGATTTGGTGTCACTGTCCCTATCGGCCTGTTTGCACCTTCCAACTTAAAAAAATTCTAAATGCAGTAGTTATTTGTGGTGGAGGAAGGGGATGAGATAGATAGATAGATAGATAGATAGTAGATAGATAGATAGACAAGACAGATAGATAGCAGAAACCAAAATGATAAAAAACAAGTGCAGCAGAAATGCCTGCAGGGCAGGGGGGAGGCACCTCTCACTTTCCAGCTACTCCTCAGGATTCAAATAAATAGCAAATCCATGACTGAGTCCACACAGAGATATGAGCTGGTCGGGAGATTTTTCAGTACTTAAGGAAACAAGGCAATCAGTCATTTTTCACTTATGAATCCTGAAATAAGGGAATGCCTAAATTATCTTGAACGTGTTAACACCGGTGGCCCTCACCATCTAAGAATCAGCCCGGCCAAGCAACTGCCACATTTCCTCGCAACAGTGAGAAGCGCCTTCTTTAAACTCAAAATACCTTGTCTAATGTTGTCAAAGTTGATGAATTTTCTGAATGAGCTCCAAAAAACTTCATTAGGAGGCTATTTCTGCTCACAGAATTGTCAGTGGATGCTCTAACAAGGCAGACGTGGCTCTCTTTTCTGTTGGTTTTTTTTTTTGTTAAATTTGCAGAGAAATACCTTGGCAATCTCTCTGCAGTCTCCATCACTATTGCCTTTCACTAGGAAAAAATAAATAAATACCAGCAGCATGTTGGTGCTCCCCTGTCTGCACAATACAACATGCAGACTAACAGCAGCGAGCAGGAGAGGGTAACTACAAATAAAACCCACCTCAAAACACTGCCAGGTAACACAAGCGTGACAGAATACAACTCCTAAACAGTTAATCAGTCTGACCTTCTTTAGCTGGCTGCCAATTTCACATTTAATGAACTTAAAGCCACAGAGAATCAAAAAATAGATTTTAATTTGACTGCACGATATTGGAACTGATTTTGATAAAGTGCAAAAATCCAGTGAACTCAGGTTAAATTTATTTCAACCCTACCTAGGCTGAATATTGAGGAGGAAGATCTGGAGTAGCTCCCAGTTGTGCTGCGTAAAATAATATTGAAAGAGAACACTACCTCGCCGTACCTCAGCTCCAACTAGGACACAGGGATCCAGTCCATCATTTCTTGCCTCTAGTACTACTTCTAATTTAACGTAAGGTCAACAACAGGAATATGAAGGTTACATTTGTATTAATAAAAACAATGTCTTAATCGCTGGGGTTTTCTTCTAAAGTTACAGACCGAGAGGAGAAGAGGGCACAACGTGCGTCTCACGCTCCTCAGGAAGCCGGGAGAGGAGCAGGGATTGCCGGGCATGGCGTTTTCCTCCCCGGCCCTTCTTTGCGTTCGGACCAAGGGGAGTAAATTATAGCAGGATTAATTCCATCAGTAGCTCGCTGCACGCCGCAGACAAAGGTATTTTGCGAATCTAACTTCGAGCTCTCCGCAGCAAAAGACATAAAATCACCCGTATTCCACTCACAACTGGCTTAGTGAGGAGCTCTGCATAATCATTACTCAATTATAATGTTTTCCCGCGGCCTGATTCCTTTCTGAGGCTGTCACTATTATTTAGCAGGAGAAGGTAACCCGCTGCTTCCACACCAGACAGTTAAAAAAGTAGCGCTGAACAAAAAGAGACTTTGCTAGAAGTCTGTACGGACTGGGCTGATTTACAATCAAAACCAGGAAATGAAGTGGTAATTCAGAGGTTGCTGATTACACCTCCACATTTCACCTAATTAATTTTATAGGAGGCAAAGTTCTTGAAAATAACAAGATGATCAAATGTACAGATATAAAACCTGTAACCTCAATAGTTTCTATGCTCTTAACGTAAATTATTGCTAATTAACAAGAATTATATACTAATGTATGAAATACGGCTGGCACCGTATTCGCTGCAAAACATTTGGCTCCTGATGGAGGCAGAGGCTGCAAAAAACACGCTTGTTATTACTATTGCTACTTTTAAAACAAAATATAAAATACCGGGATTACAAAGAAAACACCAAAATACAATTCACCTGGTCTTGCCACAGATTTGCAGGATGCACCTTTTAATTCTGGGGCAATCAAAATTCCCTGGCTGGATCCCTAATCATCCGTCCCTATTTTTCATGCAAATTGCCCTTCCAACAACATGCCTTTTCAGCTTTCCCCCTTCGCCCTTCTACTCCCCACTTCTTCCTCCTCTTCACCAAAACAACCGCACCGGCAAAAGCGGAATGGATTTGAGTGTCGGGAGAAAGGAGGTACTGGAGGTGACGGGGCGGGGAGGGGGGATGCCACGGTACGGTGTGGGGAAATGCCCCGGCAGCGCATCCGCCGTGGGAAGGATGGAGAAGGGTTGTTTCGTCTCAAGTTTGTGTCCTGAGATCATGCGGTGCCAGGAAAGGGAGACTTGGGGGTACAATGGGAACCGCCAACACGTTACAGGGAGGGAGGAGAAACCCGGGGAGGGGGAAGGCGAGCATCCCCCGCTGCCTCCCGGAGCAAGCAAACTCCGCGCAAAATTAAGAACAAAGAAGA